AATAATAATAATAATAATAATTATTATTATTATTATTATTTTCCTGGATTCATAGCTCCTGCTCAAAGAGCAGGTGACAGTTGTGGCTAGGAAGACCTCCACACAGGTTCATCTTCTATATCACTTGTGCCTGTTCTTGTATCAGTAGGCCCTCCAGACAGTCACTCATGCCCTGATCATGATTATTGCAATGCCCTCTTCATAAGGCTGCCCTTGAAGACCACTCAGTAGTTTCAGCATTCAGGTCCAGAATGCAGTGGCATGGGTAGTAATGGCCCTGTCACTTAGCTTCCAGGTGCAATTCAAAGTGCTGATTATAATCTAATGGGACGCAAGAACTGGGCTTTCTCTGTCAGTGTGCCTGGTCTCTGGAACAGGATTCCCCCAGAGATTAATATGAGAGATTAGATTAGATCACCTTCATTTAAAAAGTCATTAAAAATATGGCTTTTCCCCCAGGCCTTGGGTTAAGATGGGTGGTAAGCCTCTCATAGGAGTTTTCTCTTCTAAGTTGGATGGTTGTCTCTTCTGAGTTGGATCTTTTGTCTTCTTTCTGCTTTGTTTACAAATTTTGTATAGTTTTTACTATTGCAAGCTACCCAGCATTATTATGGAGTTGGGTGACCTAATAAACACACAAAGAAATGAATAGTTTCTTACTCACCTAAAGCTGACAGCACCACCACTGCCATTACCAGCAAGACAACAAAGACATACAACACTTTCACAGAAGTCTGTAGAGTTAGGTTTTTCTCGCACTGGCTGCAGTTGGTCCTCATCCGGCCTGCAAGGAATGAAGTACATATGGAGAACCTAGCATATCTGGGGCTGAGCTCAGCTTTTGACTTCACTCATATGACTCTGGTTGATGGGATATACCCCACAGAGAAGGGGATGTGAGACCAGAGGTTGTGGATTAAAATAGAATACAGTCCTCAGGGATGGAAGAGTGCTTTTGGAGAACCAAGGGGAACCCAGGAGACTTTTCCAATATTTTCCGGTCCTGAAATGAAGTGGAGAAGGAAGGCCAATGGGGGAGGAGACAACCCAGCCAGGCTTAACTTGCCCTTACCATTTGGTCTGTATCTGAAGGAAGGCATTTCGTCGTCTTCTCCAGGGAGGTCCTCTTCTAAAATATAAAAATAAATTTAAAAGAAGATGGTGTTTAAGTATCAAAAATTGCCAAAAAAGCATCTAAACGTTGCTGGTTTTTTGTCTAGACCTGTTATATTTGGCTTTTATTGGATGCCATCTTGGGTGTCTTTGGCCAAAGAGGTTAACATGGTTTATTAAATAACGCAGGTGCCATCAACAGACTTATAGCACTATTAGAAAGCATGAGTATGTCTGGGGCACGATGAGAGGGTCATGTGTGTGTAATCAAAATAGGCAGAGTTCAAGTAACCAATAGCTACAAAAAGAGAGATTGGCCTTAGCTATGGCTTGAAGGTAACAATTAAGGCTCATGTCTGCATAGCTGCTCCTTTCCAGACAGATGAAAATGCTGTCAGCCATCTCTGATCAGATGCTCTTCAGATGGAGGGATTAAGGCTGCTATCATTTTTGCAGCAAGCAGTTGGCCATTCTTGCTGAAGACAATGGCAGGTATAGTCTGACCCATCTGAAGAAGGAAACCAGGTTGACTTCAATATCTTTATTTTCACTCAGTTTGCCACTAGTATATACCTTGTAAACATAATGGCAATTTTGTCCTCCAAGTGCCAGAACAGCAATATTTATATTTATTTATTTATTGTGGGAGGACAACAAGGGGGAAATATTTCCCTCAGAGCATCCCATTAAGGATTGGGCCTGCTCCATGGCACCAGAACTTGTGCCTAGACTAGGCTGAAAGGGTGCTGTGTTATTTAGCACATTATGGGAAAGTCTTGTCTTAACATATTGGGTCAATTAGTAACATGCTTGTTTGGGCATCCCATGTTATGTGAACACCAGCAACTGGCTTTGTTTACCTAATACAGGATTAAGCATGTCATATGAACCCAGTCTGAGTATTTATTGTGGGGAGGAACAGAAAACTGGGAGGTCAAGTTATGTGAAAGGGCACAGATTGACTGGCTGCCTGGCAGGGAGGTGCCATACGTAGAAGCACCCCATGGTGCAATGTTCTAGGGCTCATTGATCAGAATTTTAAAACCACTGAAAAGAGAGTACAGTGGTACCTCAGTTCACGAATGCTTCTGTTCACGAACAATTCGGTTCA